TCCTTCCCTCCCACGTCCCTCACCCCCACGTCTCTCCCCCACGTCCCCCTACATCCCTTCCCTCATGTCCCTCCCCCACATGTCCCCCCATGTCCCTCCCCCCACGTGCCTCCCCCCCACGTCCCCCCCACAGGGGGCCCTCCGGCTCCAGCATCTGTGGGGCGGAAGCAGTTTTGTCTGCGGAGCGTCTGTTATCGGCTTTCCTTGGCGGCTCACTGTTCATGAGGCTGGTGGAGGGGGAGAGGGGAGTATTCAAGGCCCCTCCGGGTGGGGAGGGCGCGGGAGGAATCCTAACGGTGCCCTCGGAGTGCCCAGGACCGCCGGGGCGTGGGCTGGGCGGGGCGATCCCTCCTTCGCCTGACAGCCGGTGGAGCCTCTCTCAGAAAATGCGGGTGTGCTCACCATGGACACGGGGGCCATGCAGAGCCGGTGCCGGGCTGCAGCGTGCAGATGGGGCCGGGGGTCGTGGGGGAGAGCGGGAGGGGAGAGGGAGGGCGGGGAGTCGGGGGAGCCGGGGCCTGGCTCGGAGCGGGCTGTGCCCGTGTGGGGGTGAGTCACCTGTAAGGGGCGATGGGGCTATGTGGTGGGGTCACTCCCGGTCCCCGGGGCTGGGGTGTCTGCCGGGAGGGAGGGTCCTGGCCTGACCCCTCCCTGGGGTCAGCGCAGGTCAGGAGTTGAGAGAAACCTTGCCCTCGGGAGGGAGCGTCTGTCACCCCAGGTCAGGGCCACCTGCTCCGTCACCCTTGGCTCAGGAGCCGGGTGACATGTGGACGGGTGTTACAGCAAGAGGTGAGACGCGGAGGCCGCGTCACCCGCCAGAGCCCTCCGCTTCAGGTTGTCCCCAGTCGAGCACAGAGACGGACGGATCCCTTGTCCTCGGTGTCACTGTGTTTTCCCGGCCGGATCGGGGGGGCCCAGGCTGTGGAGCGTGGGTGCCCACAGCCTCTCGGGGATGTCAGCAGGACAACCAGCTCGTCCCGGGTTAACCAGGCCCCCCAGGTATCAGCCGCCGTCACTCCTCATGTGACGTCCTGAACCCCTGGGCCACGCGGGTGCGGGCCTGAGCTGGGGCGCCCACTCTCCAGGTGGGCCGCCAGGCTGGGCGTCCTGGAGGGCAGGTCCCTGACGCCGCGCCCGCACAGCAGTCCTCACGCGCGTCACCCCTGCAGCTGCCGTGACAATGACCACAGACTCAGTGGCTGAAAACAACACGCGTTTATTCTCCAGCAGTCCCGGAGGTCGGAAGCCTCACGGGGGTCCCACTGGGCTGAGATCCAGTCCTTCTGGAGGCTCAGGGGAGAGTCTCCTTCCCACCTTTTCCAGCTTCTAGAAGCGCCCGCGTCCCGCGCTCGTGGCCCCTTCTCTGTCCTCACAGCCGGCTCGCAGCAGCTCTTTGGCCCTTCGTCCGTGGTCACATCTCTGACCACAGCTGGGAAAGGTCCTCTGCTTTGAACGGCCCCCGTTAGTGCACTGGGTCCCCCGCAGCGTCTCCTGTCCCCAGATCCTCAACTCAGTCCCGTGTCAGGTTCCCGTTCATAGGTCCCCGAGCTACGACGTGGATTCTGCCGACCACCCGCCTGTCTGCTTTATGTGATGGTCTGCACACCCGTCCTGGCCCCCAATTAAAATACCGCTGAAGATGCACCTTGCCCGCCCTCGCCACCCTCCTGCCCGTCCCCCGTCAGGAAGTCCCCCAGCCCCGGCCCTCTGGGGAAGGATCTTCCGGGCCCCGCAGGCCCATCTGGTTCTCTGTTCCACTCAAGTGACCGCTCATGTGTGATCTACTGTTTGAGGTTTGGGTTTAACAAGAGTCTGTAAGTGGTGTATGTGAACTGTAGAAATATACAAAACTCGGATACCTGAAAAGAAAACAGATTCTGCCTTTGCTCTTCACCCAGGGAGGATGTTCAGAGCAAGCCCCCAGGCAGGAGCCGTGGCCACGGAGGGTCCCTTCCCGGGGGCTTTCCCAACAACTCGCCTCCTCCCCTCCCCCCGTGCTGATTTCTGAGCACCTGGCAGAGCCGGCCTGCGCGGCCGGGGGCTGCCCCAGCCTGGGGGTGACTGGGTTCCGGCCTCCGGGTGGGTGATCGGCCCCAGACTGACTTGCCCAGGGCCCGTGTTCCTTTGGGGAAGGCCAGAGGGGCCCCTCGACCAGTCCAGCCGGCTCCTGCCCCGGCGGGGGGCTCACAGGAGGGCAGGTGGCCGCTGGCCCCTCCGCTGACCCGCGCCCGCCTCTGACCAGCCTGTCCTCTCTGCCCACAGAGGACGGGAGGGGCAAGCTGCGGCCGGCCAAGGCCAAGAGCGACCGCAGGAAGAAGAGCTACGGCCCCCTGCACCCCCACCACCCACTCCTGCCCCAGCTGCCGCCCCTGCCCACCCAGTTCCCTGTGGAGGAGGCGCCGCGGCCGCCGCCCCCGCCGGGGCCCCCGGTGCTGGCGCCCGGCCCTGTGGCCGCCGAGAGCCCCCCGCCGCCGCCCCTCAACATCATGCCCCCCGGGGCGCCCGGCGAGGACCCGGAGGTGCAGGCGCGCCCCATCATCCCCTTGCTGTACGTGATGCCGCGGCCCAGCGCAGCCACCCGCGACCCGGGCCGCGCGTCCTGCCAGCAGGCCCGCGAGCGCTTCGCCCAGACGGGCCCCTCCCGCAAGGAGCAGGCGGCCCCCATGGAGCTGACGGGGCCTGAGGAGGAGAGCGGGGCCGGCGAGGTGCAGGTAGGGGCTGCGAGGGTCTCCAGGGCCTGGGGGTGGGGGGCACTGATCATCCAAACAAACCCTGCCCTCAGCCTGGAGGCCGGTAGTGTGCACGGGGTTTACAATCCACAGGGGCTCCCGACCGCCCCTTCCTGGGGCCTCACAGCCCCACTGGGGAAACTGAGGCACGGCTGGGCCGGGCTTGCCTCCTGGTGGACCAGGCCCTGCCCCGTCTCAGAGCCGGCCCCACAGAGCTCCTCGTCTGTGCCGCAGGGACCCTCGACGTTCTCCAAGCTGAAGATGGAGATCAAGAAGAGCCGGCGCCACCCTCTGGGCAAGCCGCCCACCCGCTCCCCGCTGTCCGTGGTCAAGCAGGAGGCCTCAAGTGACGAGGGTGAGCCAGGGGCTGTCCCCGCCTGCCCGGGCCCGGGCTGTGCGCCCCGCCTCTCCCCCCGGCCTCCCGCCACCGCCGGCCCCGGTCAGGCCCTCGGCCTCTGTGCCCGACTGCCCGGCCCTCAGACCCAGCCCCCTGCACACAGCCGTCGGACCCTCTCCCCACGCGCTGTGGGACAGAGCCGCTCCTGCTCGCCCTGCAGCGCTCCCCGTGGTCAGGCCCTGGCCGCCCCGAGGTTCTGCACCCTCCTCCCACCCTTTTCCGCTGTGCTTGTGCTGGGCCCAGGGCCCGAAATTTCCAACGTGACCCATGAGGCTGCAGCCCACCTGGGCTCAAACCCCAGCCCACCGCCCAGAGCCCGGGGTCACGGGCATCGTTTACCTTTCTGTGACTCGGTTTCCCAATCTCGGTTACTTTTCTGTGAAGTGGGGTCCTGCCGGGATGGCGCGTGGAGCCGCTGCCTATAAAGCACGTGGCCTGGTGCCGGGCGCACGGTGAGCGGTGGGAATGCTGAGGCCAGTTGTCACATTTGTGGCCGTTGTTGCCTTTGACCCCACGCCCTCCGCCGTGCCCTCTGCCCTGTCCTCATCTTGCGAAAACTGAGCAGACGTGGATCCTGCCAGAAGCTCCTTCCCCCAGGCCTGGGCTGGCTCCCCAGTGTGCAAGGACCGCCCTTGTCCATCCTCTCGTGGCCTCGGGGTCTGTTTGGGTGCCTGGCGCAGGCCAAGCGGGCGAATGAGCAGAGGATGTGCCTACGTCCGGGGCGGCCTGTCCAGTGTGAGCGACACAGAAGGGCGGCCGCAGCCCCAGGTTGAGGCTTGAGAAACCGACTTGGAGTCGGGGGCCACAGAGCCGTACGGGGCTGAGCGCTCGCTCATGTCCAGGTTCATTCCCAGCAGAGTCGTCGGCTGTGTCTGGGCTCAGCGACAGAGGCCTGGCTGCCGCGGGTGCAGGGAGCGCCCGGTTCGCCTCGGGGACTGGAGGAGACTTGCGCCGCCCAGTTCCCCACGGCCCCAGGCAGGCGGCCGTTATTAGAGATGCTCCGGGCTCATGGCCCAGCTGCCCGGGCGGTGACCGTGGGCCCCGGAGGAGCTGGAACCAAGGCCGTGGGAGCCGGAGCCGAGGACGGGGAGGGCAGGCACAAGGGGCTTCTGCTCCACGCTCGGCCGGGGTCCGCGTCGCTGCCTCGTGTGCAGAGAGCCCACGTAGCCGAGTCCTCATCTTCCGCTGGAGCCTTGCGTTTAAGACGCACGTGGAATTTGAAGATCGTCGGGATGGCGTTTTTAGTTCTGAGTCTGATTTGAGGGTTGGGCGAGGAGAGGGTCTGGAAGTGCTGCGGGTCCTGAGGCCGGGGCTCCCAGGAGACGGAGGGGTCTCGGGGGAGGATCCCACGTGGTCTGGGCCTCTCAGGGCAGGTCGCCTTAGGATGTAGTCAGGAAGGCTTTGCATCAGCTTTCCCAGAATGCCCTTCCAGGGCCCCCCCACCCCGTGAGCCCCTTTGGTGAGGCCAGAACTCGGCGTGCGTCCTGGGGCCTGTGGTGACGGAGGGGGACCTCCAGCTGGTGGCTCTCCTCCCCTGAGGGAAACAGCAGTGGGCCGTCGGGGGACCGGGGCGGGGCTGGCTGGTGGCAGAGGCCAGCCTGTGACGGGCGACGAGTGGGGGTGGGGGAGGCGTCCCTTTACAGCCTCCATGTTGGTAGGACTTAGGGGTGACACTCCCCTCTCCCCGACCCCCAGCCATGTTCCTCTCTGGGCTCCCTTGAGCTCGGGGAGCTGCGCCTGACCTGCCCCCCGTCTCCCTCTCCAGACGGGACCAGGGCCCCGGGCAGGGTGGCCGGGCGCCCCTGCAGGGGGCTCAGGGGCCGCAGGAGCAGGGCCGGCACCATCACCGCGAATGCGCGCGGCAGTACCGGCCCGTCGGGGTGAGGGGAGGGGCTCTGGGATGCGGGGGCCTGGGTTCCTCGGCGCTGACGTTTCCCCGCCCCGTCCCTCCAGACGCCTTCCCTTTCTCGGGAGAGGAGGACGTGAGCGACCCCGAGGCCGTGAGGTCCCTGCTGTCCCTGCAGTGGAGGAACAAGGCCGCCAGCTTCCAGGCCGAGCGCAAGTTCAACGCGGCGGCCGCGCTGACGGAGCCCTACTGCGCCGTCTGCACCCTCTTCTACCCCTACAGCCAGGTGCGCCCGCCACGGGGGACGCGGGGAGTGGGAGGGTCGTGGGGACCAGGAGCCTGTTGGCTGCGGGGGCAGTGGGGTCAGCTGAGAGCTGGCAGCTGGGGTGGGATGGCCACGGCGCCAGGCTGGGCCCTGGGTGGGCGGGGCGGGGCTGTGACACCGAAGGTTTCCGTGAGGGCTGCCCGGGGAGCCCGGATGCTGAGTTTTGTCAGAATGTGACTTATCGACGTGCATCAAAGCGGGGCCGTCGCTAGAGGGGGGCCGCGTGGAGGCCTCACAGTTACCGTCCTCAGAAGCATCCTCAGCCCGGCCTGGGGGGAGTGCAGGCTGGGGGCCTGGGGATGGGGCGGGCGGCTCGTGTGGGCCCTGACTGGTCCCCACTCTCCAGACAAGGTGGGCCCTGGCCTCTCCCCGCTCTCTGTCCAGCCATCAGCTGCCACCTGCCTGTTGCCCCATTAACCTCTTGTTCCCCTCCTTGTTTCCTACACCTCACCGCGGCCACAGTGGCTCCAGCCATGCACAGCCCGGCTGGAAACCCTGCCAGGCTCGCCATGGCCCCCGGCCCCGCCGCGTGCTGCCCCCACGGCCCTCCTCTGCTGTATCTGCCCCCACACGGCGTGCCGTGTGCTGTCCCCCAGGTCTGCCTCGCACCCCACCCAGTTCTCTGCCTTGCTGCATGGGTTTCTGTTCATCCTATGAGTCCACTCAGCTGCCGCCTCTTCCGGGAAGCCTTCCTGGGCCTGCTGTCCTGGGCTGGCTGCCACACGCCCCCCGGCTCCCCCCGGCCTCTGCCGTTGCTTCTGCCTCTCTGTTCATCAGCCCCGGGGCTGGGAGGCCCTGGAGGACAGGCCGGGCCTCGCTTGCTTTTTGGTCCCCGGCTCCTGGCCTGGCACTGAGCTGCCCCACGGTCGGCCCCGAGCCCACGGCCGCGTGCCTGTCTCGAGGGCCCCACTCCTCCGAGCTGCCTGGTCTGCTGTCTCTGAGTGATTCTGTGTCTGGTCGTGGCGTGAGATGAGACCTAACGTCCAGGTGTCTGCTGTGGGCACGTCCTTCCTGGTGCTGCCGCAGGGGCCGCCGGGAGTCAGGGCCGGGAACTCCCGCCCAAGACGTGGATCTGCGGGATTCTGGTTGCTCAGCGAAGCGTCTCGAGTAAACGTCATCATGCCCAGTGGGCCTCGAGGGTGACCCCTCCCGCAGGCCGGAGCCCTCGGAGTCCGGGGCCAGGCCTCGCTTGTCCCTCGCCGTGACGGGCACTGTGGCTGGATGTTCTGCCTGTTCTCCACTAGTGGGGGCAGCTCAGAGGTGTGGGGGGACGAGTGAGGGGCTCCGATTTCAAAGCTGGTCCCCTCATCCGAGGGGCACTGTCCCTCCTGTGCAGTGCACACCAGGCCGGCGTCCTCCCAGTCAGGAGCAGGGGCAGGTCCTCTGTCTCGGTTCTGTGGGCACCAGGGAGGCTGGTCTGTGACAGGCCCGGGGCGTGGCTGGACCCTGGCACTGGGAACAGGCCGTGTTCATCCGTTTTCTTCATCCAGTCAGATCCGGGGGCTCAGGGAGGACGGGGGTACAGCTGTCATGGGGTGCACGTTGGAGGCGGGGGAACGCCCCACATGGGCACACAGATGACACAGTGTCCGGGGATGGTCAGGACCATGAGGACCACAGCAGGGTGGGGGGCCGGGTCCAGATCTCACGGGGACAGAGGTCTGAGCCTCCGGGCGGTGGGAGCAGCCCACCAGAGGCAGGACGGTGTTGGGGTCTGGGTGCTGGAGGAAGAGCGAGGGACAGCAGGGATGTGAGGGAGCTGGGTGGCGTCGGGGCTGCATCCTGCTGTGACCCCGAGGGGAGGGTCTTCAGTGGGGGCGGGACGGGACCTGACTGAGGAGGGTCTGGGGGCTCCTGAGCAGGGTGGGGGCTGAGGGTGAGGGGTGCACCGGGCAGCCCCCGGGGGCGGCCGCGGGCGTCCCGCTGAGGCGCCAGGCAGAGAGAAGCAGGTGGGATGTGGAGACAGGGCGCGTGAGGGGCGGGTGGGGACGGGCTCCAGGACGGCCGGGTCCACGACGCCCCCTGACGGCGGCACCTCGTCCCGCAGGCCCTGCAGACCGAGAAGGAGGCCCACGCCGCCTCGCTCGGGGAGGGCCCCTCGGCCGCGCCGCCCTCCAAAAGTGGCCAGAGGACGCGGCCGCTCATCCCCGAGATGTGTTTCACCTCCGGCGGCGAGAACACCGAGCCGCTGCCCGCCAACTCCTACATCGGCGACGACGGCACCAGCCCGCTCATCGCCTGCGCCAAGTGCTGCCTGCAGGTGCACGCCAGTGAGTGCGGGGGCTTGCGCGCCCCTCCCTCTGCTGCTGTGGGGGGACCTGGCGTCCTGGGGCGGGGGTCTTGGCCTTGGGGCCTGCTGCTCAGCCTCCTCCTGGAGAGTTCCGCTGAGGCCCGCCCTCCCCTCAGGGCCTGGGAGGCAGCAGAAGACATGAGGCCCCGGCAGGTGCCGCGATGCATTTAAACTCCGCTCTCTGGGGCTGGAGTTGGAAGTGATGGCAAAGCCGAGATTCTGGAACTGTCCAAGGGCGGTTTATCTCTGCCATCGCCACCACCCTCCCCCACATCCTGAAGCCCGAGGCCGGAGAATGGATGTCGGCCCCCTGGCCCCCTTCTCGGGCGGGAGGGGGCAGCGAATGCGACATGGAGCCCGGGCCAGGAAGGGCGCTTTCTGGAGCCGTTTACCTCTGCGTGCCGTCCTGCGGCGGGAGGCTGCCCTCCGTCTGTCTCTGTCCGGCTCCCCGCCCCATGGAGGCGGCCCGGCTTGTTTTCTCTCCTGGCCGGGAGCCCGTCTGCCCGGCGGGGCTGGGCCGGGCTGTGAGCCGTGCCCCTGGGGGGCCCCCCGGGGAGAAGAGCCTTGTTCCCTGGCCGAGGGGCCTCGCAGTGCTGCTGAGCGGTGCCCCCTCCTCTGTGCCCTCTCTCCCCGCATTTCTAAACCGGGGCCACGTTTCAAAGCCAACCACCCTGGGGACGCAGAGGCTCCATGTGGCTTCAGAAGAAGCTGTTCTGCCCACACACTTGGCCCGGCTGCCCGGCCCTGCACTCTGCACTCCCGGGTCCAGGAGCCCACCTTACATTTCCCGGGTTCTCGGCTCTCCCGAGCCTGGACGGGGCCGAGCCTGGAGGGGCCAGGCTGAGCAGACCCGGCAGGGGCTCCCGTGAGGGGCCTGCTCTCCTCCTGGCATCTGGTTCGAGGCCTTTCCCCCCGCTCCGCGCGCAGTGGCCTGGACTGAGGTCGAGTGGGTGGTGAGGGCCATTGCCCTCACACCGGAGTTCCGGAAGGCTCTGTGGGCCCCATCCACGTGCAGCCGCGGGGACAGATGCAGCTCCTCCTCTGAGCCGCTCGCTGTCTTTCAGGTTGTTACGGCATCCGCCCCGAGCTGGTGACCGAGGCCTGGACGTGTTCGCGGTGCGCGGCCCACGCCTGGACTGCGGTAACTCGGCCTGCGGCTGGGGGGTTCTGAGAGCCCGTGGTGGGGGAGCCGGACCTGGGCCCCCGGACCTGTCCTGCAGGGCGGCCGTGGGCTGGTGGCCTGGCCCCCCGGGTCTCCGCCTCAGCAGTGAGGGGTGGTGGCCGCGAGTATGAAACGTGGGGACGGAGCAGCGTGGCGGCAGCCCTGCCCGCGCCCCCTCACGTGCGGCTGTCTGTCCCACAGGAGTGCTGCCTGTGCAACCTCCGGGGCGGAGCCCTGCAGATGACTACCGACAGGAGGTGGGTGGAGGGGTCCTCCTGGGGGGCCTAGGGGCGTCGGCCCCTCCTCGGGGCCCCAAGTTGTGGTGGGGGTGGGACCAGGAGGAGCAAGCGAGCGCCGGGACTGTCCCATAAGTCCTGACGTGGACAGGGGCAGTGCCCCTCACGGTGAGATGACCCCGGGGGCGGGGCGCACTGTGACCCCGCCCCCACCCGCCCCCCAGGTGGATCCACGTGATCTGCGCCATCGCTGTCCCCGAAGTGCGGTTCCTGAATGTGATGGAGCGCCACCCCGTGGACATCAGCGCCATCCCTGAGCAGCGGTGGAAGCTGGTAGGTCCCCCGTCTCGCCCTAGGACGCAGGGGGCTGCCCGGGGGCCAGACGCCGTGGCTGTCAGTTTGGCAGACCCGTCACACTGTGCATGGGTCCCGAGACACACGGTCAGAGGGCGCAGAGGTGCCCGGAGACAGCAGGTCCCCCGTCTCTGCAGACACGTCCTCCCCGGTCAGGCTCGTGCCGCGTCCAGCCTTTCCCGGAGCGGAAGCCGCGCACTCCGCCCCGTCCTTCTCTCCCTGCCTGGCCGGCTCCTCCTCTTAATTTTTAATCGCAGTGAAAACACTTAACGGGAGATCCTCCCCCTTAACCCACCTTGACGTGCATGGCACCGAGGGCATGAGGTCGCACAGCCGGGCTCTAGACTGCGTTCGTCTAGCAGGACTGACCCCGGATGCCCGCTGACCCGCGTCTCCCCCTTCCGCCCCCAGCCCACACACCACCACTTGACTCTGCCTCCCCGAGGGGGAGTTGACGGGCCTCCTCTGAGTGCAGTCCTGCTGCGTGTCCTCCTGCGTCTGGCGTCTGGCTCTGAGCATCGTGCCCTCAGGGTCCGTCCGTGTCGCTGCAAGTGGCCGGATGTCCTTTCTCGTGGCTGAATACTATTCCACTGCGTATTTATACGTACGCCGCGTCCTCTGTATCCGTTCCTCCATCACTGGGCACTTAGGTTGTTTCCGCGTCTCGGCTGTGGAAATGACGCTGCAGGGGGCCGAGATCTCTCCTGTAGCCTGCTTCCGTTTCCTCGGGGTGTGCGCCCAGCAGTGGGAGAGCTGGGTCACTCGGCAGTTCTGATTTTAACTTTTTGAGGAGCCTCCGCACTGTTCTCCGTCGCAGCTGTACCAGGTTGCACTCCCCCAGCCATGCACCGGGGTCCCCTTTTCTCCACATCCTTGCTGACCCCAGTCCTCTCGTCTTCTCTCTGACTGCGCGTGTGAGGGGCTATCTCACGTGAACTTGATTTGCGTTTCCCCCTGATCAGTGCCACCGAGCACCTTGTCATGTGTCTCTGGCCATTCGTGTAGAGAAACAGAAATGTCTATTCACATCCTTCACCCGTTTGTAAATCAGGCAGTTTTCCACTGTTGAGTTGTTGCAGTTCCCTAACTGGCCCCTCTATGCGCCTTGAGCTTCCCGCTCTAAGGCTCGCGTGGCCGTCCTGGGCCCGATGCTCTCTGGTGACCGTCACCCCGGGTAGCTCCTGGGGCGGCGGGCGGAGTGGGCGGAGCGTGGCTGTGAGTGAGCGCAGGCTTCCATTCCCAGCTCGGCTGCTGGCCTGCTGTGTGACTCCAAACAGATTCCTTGATCTCTCTGGGCCTCGGCCTTCCCACCTGTGCACTGGGGCTGCTGAGGGTCCCCTGCACGGTGAGCATTAACTGGGCCTCATGTGAAGTGCTCACCGTGCCATCTGAGTGCTGGCACCTGGTCTTGGGGCATCAGTGCTGAGAGTTTGCAGGCGGCCTTGCTGGACATGTGTCCCCACGAATGGACGTAGGAGTGGCAGCTCTGACAGGGACATGTCTCCTGGCACCAGGGTCTGGGTGCCCGACAGTATCCCAGCTGGTTTCTCTGTCGGTTTAATTCCCAGCTGGTCCCGGGGTGTTGACGCTCCTCCAGGCCCACCACGGGCGGAGAAATCAGGCTGCGGGCAGTGGGCCGGCAGGGGGCCTGTGGGGAGGGGCAGAGACACCCACTGCAGAGCCCGGGAGGGAGGGAGGGGGCCTCGGTCGTGGAGCGGGCCGGCCACAGGAGAGGCGGCAGCCGGGAGGCCTCATTACTCAGGTGGAGGGACGCGCCCGCTGGCTGCTCGCTCCCAGACGCCTTATGGATCAGCTGACATCTCCAGCTGGCAGCCTCTTCGTTACCCGCACTTGTAAGATGAATTAAAAATCCTTTTACATGAGGCTGGCTTGTCCTGCCTAATGGAGCCTCGCACGGAGGCCGGCAGTTAACCCCTGCTCACCCAGCCGCCCGCCCACCTTCCCGGGCCACACACGGGCCGCAGGCTCAGGGGCGGTCGCTCCTGGTCACCTGTCCATCCACCTGTCCCCGTGCCTCCCTGGCCGCGGCTCTGGGTGCCTGGGGGGTCCGGGTGAGCGGGGGCTGGCCCGGCAGTGCCACAGCCTGAGCCAGGTCAGAGCCCGGTTAGCCAGGTTCTCTGCCGTGCGCTTGGCCCTCACCAGGCTGGGATGGTTCCTGGAGACACTGCGAGGTCTGGGGGGGACTTGGGATGGGAGGGGTCAGCTCGTGGGGCTGTGGGGGCTCAGCTGGTGGGGCGGGCGGTTTGAACCAGCCCTGCCCACTCTGTGCGCCCTGCTCTGAGGATCAGGGGCTGTGTCGGTCCCAATAGGAGGGATGCAGGTGGGCAGGGGAGGGGGTGTAGGAGACCTCCGCTCTCCCCAGGCCTCCGCAGCCCGCCCTGCGTCCCCTCCTCAGCCCCGAGGCCTCTGACAAGGGCGCCCGACACCCGACGTGCTCTTACGGCAGCCCCCACGCGCTCCTGACACGAGGCACCGTGGGGGCCTGGCCCACGCTCTTGGTGATTTGAGAACTAGAATAACGAGCTGCCACCCACGGGTGGAAACGAATGTGCCCCTGTCAGGCCAGGTGTTGGGGTTCTCCTGGGCCCTGGCTGTGGGGTCGTGGCTGGGCCCTCATGATGTGGTGACATGTGCAAGATTACCCTGCGCCCCCTGGCCGAGGCTCCCCGCTCCTCCAGCCGAGGGCGATGGCTCTGAGGAGCAGAGGTGCTGCGGAACTGGAGGGTTAACCGTGGGGAGCGTGGTGTGTGTCAGCCTGTCCCCGCTGGCCGGCGGGAGAATGAAGTATTGACAGATTAATAATGAGATCTCATTGCCATCAATCCGCCCGGTGCCCTCCTGCAGCCCCTCGGCCGTGCTTATCTGGCTGCTGAACACGGTTTACGGAGTGATAAAGGCCCTCGTTAGATGTGCAGACGGCCGGGGGGCACGGCCTGGATGCTCTGGGGACAGGGGGCGGCATTCCCACAGCGCGGACCCTCACACGCTCCTCCTTAGGAAGGCGGCTACCCTGCGGTGCCTTTTATTCAAAATTAAGAGAACATTCCTCCTTGTAACCATTTTAAAGTGAACAATTTAGTGGCTTTTAGTACATTCACAGAGTTAGGCAACTGTCGTCTCTAATTCCAGAACATTCCATCACCCCCTAAAAACGAAACTCAGTCCCTATTAGCAGTCACTTCCCACCCCCTCCCCAGCCCCTAACAAACATGAACCCCCTTTCTGTCTGTGGATGTGCCTGTTCTGGACATTTCATGTCAATGGGATCACACACCGTGTGTCCCTCTGTGTCTGGTTCTCTCACTGAGCGTTGTGTGTTCAGGGTCCGTCCACGGTGTGGCTGTGTCAGGGCTTCACTCCTCTTCACGGCTGCGTCGTATTCCAGCGTGTGGCTCTTTGGTGCCTGTTCCCGGCAGCTGTGCAGAGGGGAGGGTGGAGAAGAACCCAGAGGTGCTCCCGGGTCCAGCTGCAGGCGGGTGGGCGGGCCTGGAGGGCCCAGCCCGGGGCTGTTTGGGCGGCTCTCCGCCTGGGCAAGACTGGCCAAGCAGAGTCCACGGGCTTCTCCCAGCTGCCTCTGTCCAGCCCTGGGGCTCGGGGGTCTCTCCCACGGACAGTCCTGGGGGCCCAGTAGAGGGGCTCCCGGCCCCAGGGGGCAGAGGCGCCGGCTGAGCCCCCTTTCCCTGCCCGTGTCCCCCAGAAGTGCGTGTACTGCCGGAAGCGGATGAAGAAAGTGTCGGGCGCCTGCATCCAGTGCTCCTGCGAGCACTGCTCCACCTCCTTCCACGTGACCTGCGCGCACGCCGCCGGCGTCCTCATGGAGCCCGACGACTGGCCCTACGTCGTCGCCATCACCTGCTTCAAGCACAAGGCGGGGGGCCCCAC